ATCATTTAATTTGTACTCCTCCATGGACTATCATAGAACAAATAATAGAACTAATAGAAAACAACTACAATCGAATATGTTATTTTAAATTTATTTAATAATGAAAAGGTTTACCTTCTAACAAGACTTTTGAGAACATGTGCGAGGTAGTCTCGCAGCGCCCTGGCATGGTGCTCGTGCTGTTCTGGGGTGGGCAGTGCGGGTAGCAGCTTGGCCAGCACTATCACCACGCCCGAGTGTATCACCCACGCTTCTGACGTACCGCCCGTTGAAAGGTTCAGCGGTGCAGCACGGCCCGCCGGCTTCGACTATATTTAAAACATTTTTTTTATTTTTATAGCTTTTACCCGTGATATCATCCGCGCGAAATAAAAAAAAATATTGAGATGTGTTTTACATTTGTGCCAAATTTCCATTCTCTTGAATAACATTGAATAAGTGGCTAACAATCTTGATAACATTATAAACTAGCTTCGCCCTCGACTTCCATCGTGTGAAATCAAAAAACAAAAGTACAAGCCTATGTGTTCTTCCAGTCTATTCCCAAAATCCATTCAGCCGTTTAGGCTATAAACTCTAACATACAGCTATCTTTTTTTTTTTGAAAAAAAAAATCAACGGATTTTGATGAAATTTTTAAAATGTTATATTCTGGTGAATATAAGTATTCGTTTTTTTTTTAATTCCACACGGACGGAGTCGCAAGCGAAAGCTAGTATGATATAAAAACCGTCAAAAACTATTCTTATGATATTGATAAAAGGAGCAAAATATACTGACCTCATTTATAGCTGAACTCTGTCGTGTTAAACTCGGAGATTTGACATTCAAGGAGCCACAAAACGTTGGCTTGTCGAAAGAATCTAAAGCAACGTCGTACAACAGTCTTAGTACTATACACGCGTGGATAAACACAACTGGCACACTCGCAGGAAACCTGAAATTATAATAATTATTTTAACAAATACAACAAACAATAAAAAATAAGTCTAAGTCTAGAGAACTTTTTCGCACACAGAGACGTTATATGGTCACCATTGAAACCCTTTTATAAACTAGCTTTAGCCCGGGACTATGTCCGCGTGCAATTAAAAAAATAAAGTACAAGAGTAGTCAATGTGTCCTTCCAGACTATCCTCTACATGTATACCAAATTTCATTGAAATCGGTTCAGCCGTTTAGACTACAAAATCTAACAAACATCCATCAATATAAACTTTAGCATTTACCAAATAACATTAATATTATTTACAACTCTTTACTAAGGGAATGCTTAAGTAACTATTTTATCTGGGTGTGGCAATAACATATAGATAATTTACAAAAACCTACGTCATTTCCAATATATTTCCAGTGAAAATCTCATGAAAAACTTCATACAGCTCCGGGTCGCCACTTTCTGTGTCATACAATAATTCAGTGTTGTCAGTGAAACATCCCAACAGTCTGATTGTTTCACTTAACGTTGTCATACATATCTGGAAAAATGCAATAAGTTAATTTTACCCAATAATAAAATTCAAATGTACTGGAACTAGTATCTTTTACTGAACAATTTCAGAGAAATTAATCTAAAGAAATATTGACTTTAGCATTTAACTTGTGACTATAGTTTGTCTAAATAAGATTGATTCAACAATTCATGTGACAGTTTAGTTTAAAATTTAAACACAATCAAGCAGGAATCTTTTCCATTTACGATCTTTATTCTTATAGAAGTTGGAATCGATAGATTCATAGTGATAACTTATGAATAAAAAAACACCGTTTTCTCAAATTAATAATGATCTACAGAAACATTACAAATCAGTAAATAAATATTTATTACTACTACAGTCGTACGTAATCGAATTGGATTTCACTATTATTATTGTCATCGCTAAATTCTCTACACTATAATCAATATTAGAATTGTTCTGTAAATTAGTTAATAAGAAAATAATAATTTAACTTAAGTTCGATAAACTTTAAGCCAGTAATACAAGATTTTAAAGTGATATTTAATACAAACCTCCTGATGAAAGAACTTAGCGTTGGCTGGCTCGAACCTCATGGCGGTGGTGATGGTGTAGAAGACGATGTGTATGAGCTGCAGCATGTCGTGCTCCAGCAGCTGCGGGCTGCGCAGCCGCCCCTCCAGCGACACTAGCACGCTTGTCACGTACACGAACCCGCTCACCTGCCACATTTTAACACCACCAATATTGATACAAACAATTTTGAAAACATACAAATTAACTGCTCTATGTTTAGAGCTTTTAGAGAGTTTAGAGAGTTTACTTGTTGGTAAATTATCTATTTTTTTCTCCTAATTTACTTCACGTTTTCTCACAATATAACCAAAAATGTAAAATTGAATCGTAAGCGTCTTATAAAAATTGACTCACAATTTCTTTCATTTAAACATTTGATTGAGATGGTTAAAATCGTACAATTACACAATAAATGTTTAAAATCACAAAGGTAAATGTTAATTATTCTTACTTATATAAATGCGAAAGTTTGGATGGCTGAACAGATCTCAATGAAATTTTGCATAGATGTAGATAATAGTCTGGAAAGAACACAAAGGCTACTTTCTTTTGTTTTTTTTTTAATCCCGGAAGCAGACGGTTCAAGCAAAAGCTAGTTTCTTCCATAATTACCAAGCGTCTGGTACAAAATGGACCATAGAAGTAGTTTTACCTTTCTAAATATAGTTCTAGTGCGATGCGAGTCTCTGAGGCAGGCGAGCAGCGCCTTAAGCACGTGCAGCTTAAGGCGCAGCGCGCTGGCCGGCGCGGCGTGCATGCCGCACAGCAGCGCCGACATGTCCTCCTCGCCGCACCCGCTCACTATCAGCTCGCGGATCACACCTGACAGGTACAATAATCAATTTATTATACTTCCGGTTAAGTATTCGATGGAGTAATAATTGTATAAAAATATTTTTTCACCCATCCTGATCGTAAAAAATAGATGACAGCTTTGATATCTTTGTATAGCTGTTTCGACAGCAGTAATTAGTATATTTTTTTACCAAAGAGAAACAACCATGTCTTCTATATCAATACTAATATTATAAAGAGGAATGATTTGTATTTTTACATATATTGAAATAACTCAAATACCATTAGGCCGATTTCACCATTGAAAAGCTATGCTAGCACCAAGTAAGTAATATAGGCTATATTTCTATTTAAAACAACCATTTTTGACTAAAAAATACACTTGTTTAATTAAAAAAGAACTTACCCAAAGCCTTAGTTCTACAAGATTCGTGTACAACCATGCCATGCACACACTTAGCGCCGCCGCAATCTCTGAATACGTTACAATTATTTGTGTTGCCATTCAACAGAGCTGTTAAACCTTCCATAACTAATGTCCCTAGTTCCTCTTCCTCCAAATCAGTATTAGGATCCTTAATCAAGGAGTCATGTTTGGATAATCGCTTTCTTCTTTCAGGTGCTGTAGGAGAACCATCAGAGTTTTCTCCTTCTCTCTTTATCTTCTCCTCTTCTAGTATTTGCTTGTCTTTCAAAAAGACAGCATATCGCGATAGACATGTAACGAATACTTCCAGCATACCAACTTCGCGGTAGACATCTTTGAATATTGCATTATGTCTAAAAAATAATATCAATAAAAAAATTAAAAAACCGAATAAATTGACATAGTCTCCAGTTTCCTCTACAGCTGTAATACATACAGTATTAAAAAAGCTCTTTAAAGAAAATCAATAAAAATCTTATTAGAATTCCAAGTGCAATATACTTACTTCAATATATTCAACAATGTCTTCAAACACAAAATGCTGCAACTTCTAGATTTGTTTGCTTTTAAAAGCAAAGATAATGAGATCAGCTCTTTGCATGGTACAAAATTAAGCTGGAACACAATGAACTCCAACAGTTCGAAGAACTTCTCTTGTATTTCCGCATTCTTCATATAAATCCTTTCTGAGAACTGACTGAGCGTGTTTTGGTTCTCCAGTATGAAGTAGTTAGCGTTATCCGCGTGATACACGCTAGATATTGCGTCTAGTATGGTGCAGCACAACGCTGGAGAGTTTGATTTTATAAACACCGATTGCAGAACCTAGAACAATACAAGAGTACACTGCAAGGCTACAATAAATGATCACTCGACACAATGTAACAGAGTGATTGATTTTTTTTTATTTTTTAATCACCTCAATATAGCTATTGACGTGATTTTATAGGTTGTTTAAGCGCAAAGTATGTGGCCCAATTTTCTACAGTTTTAAAGTTATTGATTCTTTACAAAAAAATTCGTTGATCCACCCCTTAAGAATCAACCTGTATATTTCTATAGGCCTTGGTGTCTACCTGAAAAGCCTGCACATTCCTAACAGCCTGTCCCTGCGTGGTTGGCTGCGGCAGCACGAAGCCCTGTAGCTGAAAGAGTTCTGTGTTGGCGCGCGTCGGCCGCAGCTCGGAGAAGCCGCACGCGCACAACGATGATATCATCAGCACAAGATTGCGTAATGCCGCGCGCGCCTCCGAGCCGCACACGCGCTCCTCTTCCAGCCTACACCATGTAGAAACCTTACATAGTATATAAAAATAGCAAAGAATTTTAGCTCCAAGACTATAACTAGAAGATTCTACTAAGAAAATACAATGTAGTCTCTTTAGAAGAATCAGGATTTCCGTACCTTCAGATATATTCTATTTAGTTTTAGAATATTTCTAACTTTTACCAGAACAAGAAGTTGAACAAACTAAATATACATTTATATTTAATGGGACAAATATGCAAGCTTTATTTGTTAACAGTACTGTCAACTATCAATGAATTACTTGTAGCATATACCAGATATAGGGAATTAACACAAAAGAAATGATAGAAATGGAAAGATAGAAAGTACAAATATATCACTAACATAACATAGAACATATAACATGTAAATCAAGCACAAGTCAAAACGGACAGTATTTTTTAACACAAGAAGCTTAAAGGTTAGTTAGCTTATTATTTAGCTGTTAAACCATACACCCAACTGTTTAGTTTGTTAGTAAACAGTGAATTGAGCTTACCCTGATGTCAAAAAATCGGGTACATCTTGCTTTTCGTGTCTGTGATACAAATAAAAATATAAAAAAAAAATCTACATTAAAAAAATATGAGCCAAATTTAATAATGCATGCTTATTTTGTAAATAGTACTTGACTTACTTGAGTAGAAACTCCGATAAGAATAGATAGCCTTGACATGTACGAAAGTCATCAAGTAACAGCTGACTGACTTCACTCGAGTCCTTTAAGAAACAGAACACAGCCACAAACATCTCCACTACCTGAATAGAAATAGAAAAGTGGTTAAAATACAATAATTTGTTGGGTTTACACTTTCAGTGCCACTTTGATTTTTATAGCCTATTTTACCAGGTCAAATGGCAATCAATGTGTTAAGTAAACATTCATAATAGCCATGGATTTTAATAATATCAGATTATTAAAAAAAATTAATAAAGATACAATTATATTGCATCGATAACTTATTAACTAATCAAGGTTAACATATATTTACAGTCATTGGGTACAAGTTGTTTGAATAGTAATTATGATCATAAAGTAAATAAATAGGTTTGCAATTTCAATTAACGGTATTAACAAAGTATGCAAGGCGTCATGAATATACAATTATTACATCTTAAAATTGTACATACCTCTAACGGTGTCAACTCAGGTATTCTTTGCATGTTTTCAATGCAAAGAGCTACACAGCCTTTATCTGAAATTCATTGAGAAAGATATAGCATATATTATACAATTTGAAAGTTAATAAATTAATAGGATGGTGTTCAACTCACTATGAATGTATTGTACAACTGACTGTGACAGTCCATGTCTAGATAATGTCATTAATACTTCGGCAGCGGACTTCCTCCACATTATATTGTGTGGAGCGCACCATGATGTTATAGCCGAGAACAAGAGGCTTAAATCATCTTTCCTTGCCAGTTCTTCACAAGGGAATGGATGACTGCATAATCTTACTAGTACCTATAAAGTAATGATAAAGTTAAAAAGAATTTCTATTAGATATTTGCTGAAATGCTTCTGTTTTTACTATATTTTTTAGAACTTAAGTAATTTGGATTTACCTATTTAGTTACAAAAACATAATAGTAAAAAAGGTTTACATCTAAGTTAACTTTCTTGTACCCTTCAGATATTACTATTAATTTTCTGCAAACAACTTTAGGGAGTCAATGTTAAAAAGTTACATCACCTGCACAAATATCTTTTGTAAAAGTATCCTTCTCTCTCTAGGTGTGAAATCACTGTTCACATCTCGAACATCAGCTTCTGAATCAGGGATCTCAGGAAGATCAAAGAATAAATATAGGCATTTTACTAAAGTGGAAGGTATAGCTGCAGTTGTCATCACCTAAAAGTAAAATTGTGTAAATCAATATATTTTATTTCAAGAAACATATAAGACTCTTATGTAATATATATCCTATTAATAAATACTTATGTGATTATGTAACTTATATTTAACAATATTTATAAATCTAAAGATTTAATATGTTAAAAAAGGATTGTAACAAAAATTAAAACAGAAATAATGTAGTTTCATGTTATCAAAAATTTGTGATTGTAAAATGAATATTGATGTACCTAGTATAAAATTATCTAACCTGTATCAACGATTGATCTCCCGCTGCCAAAAGGTTTAATGTAGAGAGCAACATCCATCCATTACTAGATTCCTCTGAATTCTCTATCTCTAAAAACTTTGCAATAGCGCAACTAGCTGCCACAGTGCTCTGATTGCTGGCTCTTTTCCTTATTTCTGATACCATAAGTTTGGAAACTTGCTGACAAAATGATAGAATATCCCAGAATTTTTCATTCATTTCACTCGAAGGACTGGTTCCAAATACCTGCATTAATATAGAAAAATTAAAACCTTTAACATTTAAAATTGTGTTCAACAATTGCTCAATCAACATTTTGTACATTCAATTGACATTTCTTTTTTTCAATAAAACACTTGGTGTTAGAACCTGTATTTGTTTTATTATCGTGTGAGATTATTGTTTTTTTACCTTACAGAAGAGAGGTAGCATATTGTATAGTTTGTCATCTTTTTCAGCCTCAGTGAGTGTTTGTGGTGGGTGAGTGTACTCAGCAAAGAGTTTCTTTAAGTGCATAAGTCCAAGTTGAACGTGTGACGAAGAGTTGGAGCTTTCTGGAGACTCAGTAGAGGAGGAGGCAGAAGCCCCTCTAAGTTTGCGCATTAAATTCATCTTGGTGAATTCTAAATAATTCTTATCAAAACATTGTCCTCCTTAAGTTGCATTCGAGCAAATAATACTCATTTGTGCATGGTGCTACATATCGACGCACATCTTGGAGATTTTTTTCTAGTAAAGACACATTTTCACAAACGTTTCACATTACGCAACGACAATACGGAGTAATTAATTGAGATTTTAATGAATAGCAACAGTATCTTTCAGTATTTATTTTTATAATTTTTCTACTTTGCGTTTTTATCACATACTGCAAACCCATACATCGCAAATCTGTCAATACAAAAACTTTATTGCTGTGTAGGTGGGGATAAAAAGAGTAGATAGTAGAAAATGGTAATTTTGGGGAGCAGCAAAATCTTACAGTTCTGCTAAAACAGTTATGCTATTCAACAATTTATAATCAGTAAATCAACATTTTACATAGCAATGTATATAAAAATGTTCCAAACAAGACTCTGTGCAAGATTTGAATGTTCTTCACAATTGTAATCTACAGCTTTGGTTGTCAAGCTGTCAAGTCTTTCAAGTGTCATTGTACAAGAGGGATGTCGTTGTACAGTTTTGTAGTTAACTATTAACTAAACGAAACGGTTAATTTGCAACTAGTTGATTTTTTCGACTAGCCAATTATATATTCCATAAAGAAGGACCTGAAGAATTGTTTACAAAAGATTATATCGACTACCAAGACGAAATAAAAAGAATAAAATCTATCAAGTACTACCAATTTTAATGTAAATAATAACGATAACGAAGATGGATTCATAACACAGCGGTTGACTAAACCGTTGAATCAATGCCCATCTCTATTGTTCAATTGTCAATAGATAAAGTAAACGTGAGATTACGGGAAGGAGCGAAGTAAACGTCAATTTAATCGTTATTTTCTATTTGCACGCGTATTTTACGTCTTAATAACTAAAGTGTAATATAAAAATGCCTGAAAATAAAAATCTAGTACAATGTTATAATCGTGGATGTGGTCAACTATTTGATCCGAAAGAAAACGACAAAGGTAGGATTTTTCTAGAATTATCGGTTCCAGAATATACGAATTGATTTGCTTACTAATACATTTTTCGGTATAAGCATTAAAAAGGAACCTTAATTATGTTTCAGACGTATGCTGTCACCACCCTGGAGCCCCAGTGTTTCATGATGCCTACAAAGGATGGTCTTGTTGCAATAAGAAAAGTGTTGATTTCACTGAATTCCTCAATATAAAAGGGTGTACTCTATCTAAACATTCTAACGTGGTATGTAAGACTTATTAATATTTTGGTTTTATGTTGCAAACTATCATTTTGAACATAATTGGGTACTAAAAAAATTGAAAATGTTAACATACATTGAATTAAATTTTTTAGAAACCACCAGAACCTGAAAAGAAGGCATTGGATAAGGAGCTTGAGAAAAAGGAAGTGATTGAAGTGAGAGCACCAGTATTGGGTCCACAATTGCCGAGACCGCCATTTGAAACTCCTTTAGTCACTTTAAAACCACAAATTGCAGACTCTCTGAAGAATACCATACAGCAGTCAGCACAAAAATCTGTAACCGAATCAGATGGGTAATCTCTTAAAATTGTCAATCAATTATTACTTAAGTTCATTTTATTTTTTTACTTGTGATGGAATAGCTTTTCCTAAAAACAATAAAATGACATAACCTAATCTCCATTGGCCAAGTATTTGTGTATATATTTTCCTTTATGTTACTTGTTTTCTGTATTATTAATATTTCCATTAACTAACTATTAATAAAATAGATCTCTCACTACTTGATCAATGTTTTTTTCTGAAATCATATTCAAAAATGCTTATTATAATTAACCTTATATTGCAGTACAATAGCAATAGGTACGACTTGTAAGAATGCTGGATGTAGCATTGCATATGAAGGGCCGCAGACAAATGATACAATGTGTACATTTCACCCCGGCTGTCCGATCTTCCATGAAGGGCTGAAGTTCTGGTCATGTTGCCAGAAACGAACCACAGATTTCAACACATTCTTGGCACAACCTGGTTGCACAACTGGGTCGCACAAATGGTTTAAAGAGGTTAGTTAAAGTAATAAAAATATGTTATTTTTTTTTCAATCATAGGTAGTGTCTAAGTATATGGCATGAAATGCAGTCTACATATGAATTACATCTTTGTCAAATTTATCTAAATCCATTGAGCTATTTAGGAGATGCATTTTGACAAACATCCATCCATCCGTCTACACTATCACATTTAAATATTAAGATTTAAAAGCAGGAGCTCTTTCATAAATAAACAACAACTTATATGAGAATTTAGATAGTGCAGAAATTTTTGATTGTTAAAAGTATATTGTAAAACCTTTTCTATTATCTTTCAGACAACAACTGCGGGTACTGTAAAGTGTCGTTGGGACTGGCATCAGACACCTGAATATGTAATTGTAAGTGTATATGCAAAGAAATATGATCCAGTTGAGAGCTATGTTAAATTGAACCCAATTAGACTAGACACAAAACTGGTTTTCCATCATGAAGGGAGTGCTGTGTTTGAATTGGATCTTGAATTACGAGGGGTGAGTTATTAACACTTTTTAAATTTTTCCATAAGTAGTTTGTGAATATCTATATATTAATGGATACCTATTGGACTAATTTGTTAAAAAAAAAACTTGTCTTCCCTTTATCAAATGTACTAGGTCTTTATGGCATTTATGATATATCACATGTCATAAATTCTGTTTGTCTTTAACCAGCTAATTTTTGTTAAATTTCCTACTTATCCAAGTTGAATCTCTACAGTTTTCTTTCTTGTTCATTTAATGTATAATATTAAAGTATATGTTTTTTTAGGTCATTGATGTTGGAAGAAGTAGTGCCTCAATGCTTGGCACTAAAGTTGAGATTAAATTGAAGAAGGCGGAACCGGGCGCATGGAGTAAACTGGATTTTCCAAGAACTGAGCCGAAAAAGGAAACTGTACAAGCACCAGTAGCACAACCAGAGGAAAAAGACGATGTTGTGGACTTGTCTTCCGTAGAAGCGATCACTCCAATGAATAATTTAAACTTATCTGCTTAACTCGTATTAATTTACAAAAAACATTTATTAAATAAAATATTTTTATATAGAGCAACACTTCATGGACTTTATTTAGACATCTGGCAATGTAATTTTTTTATTATTAGTGTTGCAAGTTTTTGTGCTTTCAATTATCTGTTGAAGATTGCTTTCTTTCAATGAAAAATAAAACAATTGAATAACATACGGTTTTTATTTTTAACAGGTTTATTTGGTTTTACCCTTTATAATACTCTTAATTTTGATAAATCACAATACTTTTTACAATGACTTGAGATTGTAGCGATATGTCTGTTCCCTAAAGACAATAAACACATCTATACAAAGTTCAACAAATTCAGATACTATAATAAAACTGCATACTGCAATCTACTATATATTACAATTTCTCTTACTATATTGTATAAATAATACTTGAAGAACTATCTTTTTGTTAGATTTACAATTAATGAATGTTATCAAATAAAACTTACAGCTACATCTGTTTAGTTATACCGCAACTTACATAACTAAGATTGACGTAGATAGTTATTAATTTGACTAGATATTGATTAGAGACTAAACTTTGGACTAGTATTTAGTATTATACAAAATGTAAACTTATTGCACTAAAAATCAAGTCTTATTATCCAGAAAAATTTTGATTTTAACATTTTTTTTGGAATTAGCGTAACACAAAAATATCGTTTTATCAACGATGATGACTAGTGAGAGACTAGAAGTACTTAGGGCCTGTCCGACCACTGGCTGATAGAGGCTCAGATAGCATAAAAATTACGTTACTGTCAGATAAGGGAACAAAATCCGGTATTTCCATCACATTTTACACACTGGATTGCTCAGTTAATTTACAACTTGGTGGGACAGGCCCTTAGTTTTGTAACCTAACCTATAAAGTTTTATATTTATGGTGAGGCGCAATGTTCCGTGATGGTTGGCGGCGGGAACGCGGGCACGGGGGCGGGTGCGGGCTGCATGCGGTACATGTCGTGCAGTAGCGTGGCGACAGACACATCGCCCACTGTCTCTCGGAATAACAGCAGCTCTATAGAGCGTGCGCGCACAGCACGCAGTGACGGTAACAGGAGTAGCAGTCGCCCGAATCTATACAAATGATTTAAACCAGTATTAAACTTTTCATACAGGCAAATTAAAGAAATGTATTGTAGGTTATTAACCCTGTCGGCTTTTGTTCGTGAATTGATAGTCGAATGGAAAGAGGCACCAAGGGAAAGATACTATTGTACTTTATGAAGGAGTACTATGATAATATCTAAATGTGGACGTTCTGACTAGACTACGCACAGACTACAGAATAAAGTCTGCAGTTAAAGAGCAAAAGGCCGTATTGCCGTGGGTAGAGTTACAAAGAACATATCTTTTAACTTTATTGCAACTCACCTGGTAGGTTGTCGTGTGTATCGTGTACGCACGTAGTCCGCTAGTATGCATTGTGCTTGATCCTGCAACATCTCCACAGGCTGTGTCTCGCTCAGACCGGGCGTATCTGTTGTAATTTATTTTCTTAAAAATGGGGAAGGCGAAAATTTGGTACACATAAAAGAAAATGTGACAAGAAATTTGCGAAATGATTTCTTTCTTTGTGCAAACCGTTAGCAAGGTTAGGATGCAATTAATTATGGGTAAAAGCAATTTTACCTGGTGAAAACAGAACAATAGCTTTCATGCAGCCACACTCGCTGCCATCTGGTGCTATTTGACGAAACCGACACAGAATTTCCTGAAACAAATATACAAACACTTTTTAACGTCAGAAGTTAATGGAAATATAACTATGCCAGATTTTTACACATTGACTCATGTGATGATTTTGTTGTTTTATTAGTAAACGTTGTTGTTAGATATTTAACTAGAATCTTGTTAGTTGGAACTATTTCTAGTGAGATTACCTGTAGAGTATTGAGTTCCAAGTCCGCGAGTGGGTCTGGGGGCAAACGGGTTCTGGCGACAGGAGCGGCTAGCAGCGGGGCGAGGTCCCAGGGCGCTGCCCACTGCGCCAGATGCAACAGGAAGAGCTCCTTCCACGCCGCTCGCAGGAGCACCAGCTGGTCGCTCGGCGCCAGCGCTTGGAACGGCGCCAGGCATCGCACCCAACGCACCGCCATGAACAACAAGCGTGCGCTTGTTTCCTAGAAACAACGTTTATAGGTATATTCTTTATCTATTCTGTTCGTTAGTTGACTCTATGTTAGATACTTTGCATATATTTTAGGTGTAACAATGTAAACCTAATTTACTGTTCAAGTACACAAAATAAGCAGAAAAGAGAAGCTTTTAATTAAAATATGTTTTTGAGTATGTA